GTCCCCTGTTCCTGATTATCTGCCTATTTTTCCCCATCCCAGGTTTCAGGATCCCATTGCCTCACTTTAACTTTACACACTATTCTAATTTGAGAATTCAATGGACAATTTAATTCAGCTCCTCTCATGATAAGGGTTTGGTTTTTGGTAATAGAAGCTCTGATACTACAAGAAATAAGACTTTCTTTCAGGGCACAAGTGGTAACTACTTTCAGGTCTTGCATACAACACATAAAGTGTGACTCTGAAGCTTTGAGGGGACATCCATTTCTTTCACTGCTTCGTCTGGTGAAAGTAGGATCAACCAACCAGCTTCCTTATACTTCTCACTCTGCAGGTATTTTAGAAAAGTAACAAATACATAATCACCCAGAGGCTTGTCTGTCACAAATATCTAATCCATATTTGATTGCATATTTCTATTACCACCTCACATCATGGACTATCAGTGCTCTCTGTACTACTGGATACAGAGTCATCAGTGCATATAAGCTAGACTTGATAACCAATTTAGAAAACTCATCCTTACAATTTTGTTCCTCTAGAACCTCTCTTGGTACCAAACATCTTAGGCTGAGCTCTCTGGAGGAATAAAACCAGTGAAGTATACTTACATGAATATATGTTATTGTTTTTGTTGTTGTTCTTAGGTGCCATCGAGTTGGCTCTGACTCATAATGACCCCATGTACAACAGAATGAAACACTGCCCAGTCCTGTGCCATCCTTACAATCCTTGCTATGCTTGAGCCCATCCTTGTAGTCACTGTGTCAATCCATCTCACTGAAGACCTTCCCCTTTTTTGTTGACCCTCCACTTTACCAAGCATGACATCCTTCTCTAAGGAATGGTACCTTCTGACAACATGACCAAAGTAGATGAGATGAAGTTTGGCCATTCTCATTTCCAGGGAGCATTCTGGCTGCACTTCTTCCAGGACAAATTTGTTAGTTCTTTTAGCAGTCCATGGTACTTTCAGTATTCTTCACCAACACCACAACTCAAAATCATCAACTCTTCCTCAGTTTTCCTTGTTCGTTGCCATTGTCCAGCTTTCACATGAATATGAGGTGACTGAAAATACCATGGCTTGTGTTAGGTGCACTTTAGTCTTCAAGGAGACATCTTTGCTCTTCAACACTTTAAAGAGGTCATTTGGAGCAGATTTTCCCAGTGCAATATGTTGTCTGATGTCTTGACTGATGCTTCCTTTGGTGTTGATTTTGGAACCAAGTAGTATTGAATCTTTAACAACTTCAATTTTTTTCTCCATTTATTGTGATACTGCTTATTGGTCCATTTGTGAGGATTTTTGTTTTCTTGGAGATGCAATTCATACTGCAGACTGCAGTCTTTCATCTTCATCAGTAAGTGCTTCAAGTCATCCTCATTTTTGCCAAGCAAAGTTGTGTTGTATGTGTATCACAGGTTGTTGATGACTCTTCTTCCAATTCTGATGCCGTGGTCTTCTTCATATAGTCCTGCTTCTCAGATTATTTTCTCAGCATACAGATTGAATAAGTATGGTGAAGTGATACAACCTTTATGCACTCCTTGCCTGACTTTGAACCATGCAGTATCCTCTTATTCTGTCTGAACAGTCTTCTAGTCCATGTACAGATTCTTGGTAAGCATAATCAAGGTTCATGAATTCCCACTTTTTTCAATATTATCCATAATTTGTTATTATCCACACAATCAATAAAGCACAAGTCAACATCTTTCTGGTATTCTTTACTTTAAGCCAACATCCATCTGACATCAGTAATGATATCCCTCATTCCATGTCCTCTTCTGAGCTTGCATTTCTGGAAGTTCTCTGTCAATATACTGCTACAATCATTTTTTAATTATCTTCAGCAAGATTTTACTCACATGTGTTAATAATGATATTATTTGATAGAAGAATTTATTTCAAGGAAATGGCTCACACAGTTGTGGAAGCTGGAAAGTCCAAAATTTGTGGGTGAGGCATCAGGCTGTAGGTGTCTCCTGATTCACATGGCTGCAGAGGCTGACAAACCCAAATATGGCAGGTCAAATGACAGGCTGCTAACTCATGGGATTGTAGAAGCTAGTGAATATCTGTAGGTCAGGCAGCAGGCTGCTGGCTCACATCCCAAGAATGGGACTTCAGATGATGACAAGTTGTATGTCAAATCAAGAGAGGGATAGCTTTTCCAGGACATGCATACATATTAGACGTAGATCACAGACCAAAGGAAATTTCCCTTTCAACTGATTGGCTGCTCACATCAAATCACAAAATTGAAGATTACATAATATCTGCCTAACTACTGAGAATCATGGCCTAGCTGAGTTGACACATAATCTTAACCATCACAAGTTCATAACATAAAGCCTTTGACTTTCTATAGTTTTGGGGAGATTTGAATACAATTCTGTGCCATCAGGTTGATTAAATACTGTACATTCTACTAAATGAAGTAATGAAGTATCTATTTTTAGATAGCAAGCAATAATTCAGAAGTATTCCTTTATCTGTGCCCTGGATCCATCTCAACATTTTCAGGATATTAAATACAATTTTCTCAGCTCTTTTGTATGTCTCAAAATCTGTTTCTTAGATTATCATTTAAACATCTTTAAGTAAGTTTCATTTTAAAGAGTATTAAAAAGAACCCTTCTTGATTCCATGTTCCCTTCCAGATCCTACTCAATCTCTTATCCATTTTTTATCCCTGGTACATTGTTTTTCTGCCTCTCATATTTTTTCCCTTTGGGAACACCTCTTATTTGCAGGATTGGTCTTTCAGGACTCCTGTTGGCCCTCATAATTTTCATGTCTATATGGTTCAGAGTGTTTGAGATATTACCTCTACTTCTGCCTTCAGCTCTCTAATTTAGTTATTAACCAGTTGTGTCTCCTTCAGTTTTATTTATTGAGTTTGTATGATTCAATTCCATATTTCTTAACTCCTAAAAGCTTTTTTAAAATAGTTATTAAATTTCCTTATGACCATTTTTAATCTTTGCCATCTTATTTAATTACAAGTCACCCACTCTAGAAGCTTTAACTGATCTCACATCCAAGGTTGTGAGTCTCTTTAGATCTATTGTCATGCCACTTTCTTTTGAGTACTCATGCTTTTATTCATTTTTGATGGTCATTCAAAACTATGAGAATTTAAACAGCTGGTAATCACATTAATAATTTAAGCACAGCAAATTTTGCTTCTATGAGATTAAGGTATATTAAAGCAAGCTACCAATTCTCTATGAATCTCTCCTCTTCTAATTATGGATAACATTGAGAAGAATGGGATCCTGTACAATTATTCCAACAATAAGCAAAATTGGTATTATTCTGCCAGGTCACCTGTGTGGCTCATCTGCTTCTGTCCCAAGGCTGAGAAAGCCAATGCTCTCTCCTGGTTCAAGCATGTTACCCAAGGGGTAAGCCTTTCAAAAGAGGGTGCTTTGAGTTATGAAAGCCATGAAATCCAAGTCACTTTATGCATACTTTCTACCATAGTTCTGTGATGTAGTAAATTATATGGTATGGTTTTTCTAGCCATAGTCTTTGTAACTCCCCCTTTGCCATGAGTAGCTGATTGTTAAAATTATCCACCTGGTTTATATTTGTTGGAGTAGCAGAAAGCAATCTTCTGGAAAGTTTGCTCTCTCTCTCAGGTGTATAGAATTCTGATGCTGGGATTGTTTGATTTTGGCCACTCTGCCAGGTTCAAAAAGGAGCCCTCCAAGAGGCAGGAGGGGGGTAATCTCTCACTGCTGGATGAGAGAGATGCTGCTGAAAGACAGACATGAGAAAGACTGCTGGTTGCTGACTGAGACAGCTGTCTCCAAGAGACTGAGCGTGTTCCTAACTTGAACTGTAGCCTGTTGCTTCCCTAAAAAGCCCTATAATCTCTGAGTTCTGTGTAGCCACTGCAGCAAATTATTGAACCCAGCAGAGAGGTGATGGGTGCTGTGGGAGGAATGGTTGGTGACAAGGTTAGTAAGAAGTTTGGAGGGTAGTAGCATGTCTGGCCTCATAGGAACAGGACTTGGGCTACTGATGGTGGTTATGCTTTCTTCTTGTATAGTTAGAGGTCAGAAGATGCTGCATCTTTACCTCCTTAGCAAGTCCCTCGTCTCTAGCATGTCTTAGAGTAAAACACAGTTCAGAGATAACATCTGTCTCTTTGTGATGTACACATTGAGTGGGTTCCATCAGCTAGTTTGTTCAGCCTCGTGCTTCAGTCACCAGACTTGATGGCTCCATCTTGCCAGGAGAGGACATTCAGGCTTGTATCTTCTGAGAATCCTACCCTACTCTTCCAACTTTGCTGAGTAACACTTGTATTTTCAGTAACAGTCTTAGAATATACTCCTTCTTAGAAGTCCTCATTGACTTCAAGTCTATATCACTGTGGAAGATGACTCTGTCTTTTCTAATTGCAGAACCTGTCTTATTAGGTCACTCAGTCACCTGTTTACTTGACTCATGATTACCAATTTGAAGTTTATGAGGGCAGCAAATATGCTTTTCTTGCTAGTAGTTATCACTAATAATTACTAGAGTGCCATACACAGATAACATTTAGTAAATATCTGTTGAATAGTTTGGTTAAACATAATTGATTTTAATTTAACAGTAGTTGAGGATCCACCATGTCAGATACTGTACTGGATGCTAGAAAGAGAGGAACTTCATACCCTTGATGCTTTAGCCACACACCTGACTTGCAAGATGCAGGGGGAGGGAATCTCACGATTTCTGAAGTTCTCTCTTATTTTATCATTCATCTGTTTCTCTTTGTCTACATACTAATATTAAATCAAGCATTTAAGTGAATATAGTCATAAAGACTAATAAACATGCTGAGACTGTTGCTGCATAAAATCTTTAAGGAAATCATTTTGACACCAGGAAGAATTGGTCTTTTGGGTATTATTTATTTAGCAAAGTCTGCTAAAATAACATTTTGTCTCTTCTTTTATTGCCTTATAACGTTTTACTTTCTTTTTTGTAATAGGAACAACTGCACTTTATTTATTTCTTCTTATGCATCCTTCCATCATCAGTAATCTCCCTAGCCCAAAAACATTTGAAGAAGTTCAATTCTTTAATGGGAACAACTATCACAAAGGAATCGATTGGTAAGAAAAATAAAATAAGTCCATTATTAACACATGCTAAATCACAGTGGAGCAATTATAGATGTATGCGTGGCATCTGCATAATTACAGGATAAATTTGTTATGCTCAATTTTATCACAGTGAATTAGAAATTAATTTATAATGATGATATGTTTAAGTCGTGTTGTTCATAATTTTATTTGGACAGTGCAATAATGATAATATGTTTCTGGTAAATTAGTATGATTGAATAAAGAGCATTTATGGGAAATTTTTCATCAGTCTCATTCTCCAGGACACTTAAAATCCTTCTTAAGCATGCTATTGTCTTCTTATGCTAGAATTATTTTTAACTAAACATATCATTCATTTTCACAATGCTGCTTAGAGAAACAAAGAAATCAGAAGTTTTATTTTATGCTTATTTAATGTTCTATGGCATATGTCTTCACTAACAACATAGATATTGTATTTTAATATAGGTTAATATTTGTCATGTAAATAATAGAACATTTGCAAAAACATATCAACTATGGTCATATACATGCATATGAGAAATGTTAAATTAGACTGAATGCATTATTTAAAAAAAAAAAAAAATCACAGTATTGTCCCAAGGGGAACAGAATGAACTTGATTTTGGAACTGATGTTTACTCTGATGCTTTTTCCTAGCTCTATCAAAATTTATAAGAAAATGTACTTGACTTCCAACTCTCAGGTATATTAAGCAAATCTTACCCTGAGAAAATTCTGCTCAATTTACACATGTAAAACATGCAACTTTATGTGCTATTGTCACACATGAACCTGTCCTCAACTGAAACACTGTTTTTAGGTGTGGATACAATTAGGGTGAAGCACAGCCAATGCCCGTGAGCAGTTTGGCTTCTCATAATAAGAACGTAGGCTATCCCTATATTTTTTTTCTACTTTTGCAAGGAGCCTTAATAGCATAATTGTGAAGTTTGACTGCTAACCAAAAGTTTGGTGGTTTGAATCCACTCAGTGGCTCCATGAGAGAAAGACCTGGTGATTTGCTTCTGCAGAGATTACAGTCAAGAAAACCCTCTGTGGCAGCTCTACTCTGTCACCTGGAGTCAGCATGAATTGGAATCAACTCAAAGGCAAACAACAACAATAACAAGCACTGCCTTACTTTTAGAAGGTCTCTGGATAATGCCAACAGTTTGTGTTCAACTGCCAATCTAGAGTTTGGTGATTTGAACCTACCCAGTAGTACCGTGGATGAAAAAGCCTGATCTCCATCCATTACGATTACAGCCAAGAAAAACTATAAGGCTGTTCTACTAGGTAATGCATAGGATTATCAGGAGTTGGAATGGACTGCCTAGAAACCAACAACCACCACAACAATCATCTTACTTTTAAAGAGCTAAATAAGTTTTGGAATAGCACACAAGCTACTAAACAGCAGAACAGCAATTCTCTCTTATCTGTAAACTCAAATGGCACGCAAATTTTTAAGCAGGAATATAGATGAGACTCTTCATCACTTCACATTTGGGAAACATAATAACAAATGTCAAAGAGGAAAAGTGTCTTATATGAATTCTTAATTGCTCTCATTATTTATTTCTAGAACATGTGAGGGTTGCAGAAGTGATGAGCTGTTAGGAAGGTTATACACATAATTAAAGCCTTGCACTGAATTAACCCCAGAACATATTGATTCCATAATCTACACACAGAGGAATGTTCTGACAGCATATGGAGGAGTGAACATACCAAGGCACCACAGGATCAACTGGCAGGAAATATCCCCTTAATTACCTTAGATAGACTATAATGTGTTCACATTGCTACACATATTACAAATTAAGCAGAAGTTAAAAAGGAAGAAAGAATGATGCCCTATTCTGTTTAGTATTTTATTGCTATTCTTATACACATATTCCTCTCTGGTTCACTTTGATTTCAACTTAAGAATTTCTATATTCAAGTTTTCAAACATAAATGTACTATTTTCAAATATTTAGTAAGCAAATGGTACAATATGTTGTTTACTTGGAGTCAACCTCATCTATTTGGATTTGGATTTTGGTAGCATAGAATATCAGGCCAAATCTAAAGAAGTGTCTCTCATCTTTTATCAACCTACATATTTTATCTCATTTCTTTCCCTTCCCAAAATGAATCAGAGCAATAATACCTTAGATTGTTAACACATTCAAAGTATATCAAATATACACTATTTAGACTATTATACCATCATTAATTAAAATTGATAACCAATGCAAGTTATATAAATGTAAAATGTGAAATTTATTTTATATACTGAGTATAACAGGGAAAATAATTAAAATTTAAACTAATTCATTGTCTTTGTCCTCCTTCAGGTATATGGACTTCTTCCCTACTCCATCCAACATTACAAGTGACTTTCTGTTTGAGAAGAGTGCTAATTATTTCCATTCAGAAGAAGCTCCCAGAAGAGCTGCATCTCTTGTCCCCAAGGCCAAGATAATCACCATCCTCATTGATCCCTCAGACAGAGCGTATTCATGGTACCAGGTATGAAGCAGTGGAAAATACTTTTAAAAAGTATTCAGTCACATTTTGAACATAAGCAATAGCAAATTGCCTAAATAAGACCCAAAGATATTTAAGTCCCAAATATGAAAAATATAAGGTAAATAGACAGAGACAAAGAGATACATGAATTGAATATTTAACTCATATTAAGTTGGGCAAGGAATTTCAAGCATAATACACTTAAAAGAACCACAAATGAAAGAACTAATAGATTGACTAAACCACATTAAAAAAAAAAAAAAGGAAAAAGTTTGTTTGTCATAATTAGCAATATTAAAACTAATATGAGAAGGATATCTTTAACAAATACATGTGAAATGGCTACTGCTTTTTAATATAAAATGAGTTCCTGTGAATTGCTAAAATAAATAACTCTAAAGCCTCAATACTGCATGATTTAAGGAAGGGCACACATCCAGCTTGTATCCTTTCACCATATTTAGACAATGTATATGTTCAGCAAATAATCTGAAAAGCTGAACAGAAGAGTGCAGCACCAGGGTTAGAGGAAGACTCTTTAACAACCTGTACTTGCTGAAAATGAAGAAGACTTGAAGCAGTTATGATGAAGATCAAAGACTACACCTTTCACTGTAGATTACACCTCAACATAAATAAAACAAAACAAAACAAAACAAAATCTTCATAATTGGACCAGTAAACATCATGATAGATGGAAAAAAGATTGAAGTTGTTAGGGATTTCATTTTACTTGGATTCCTAATCAACACCCATGGATGCAGCAGTCAATAAATCAGACTTCAATTTCATTGGGCATATCTGTTGCAAAATGTCTGTTTAAAGTGTTGAAAAGAAAAGTGTCACTTGGAAAAACTAAGGTATTCATAACCCAAGCAATTATATTTCCAATCGCTTCATTGGCATGTGAAAGCTGGACAATGAATAAGGAAGACCAAAGAAGAGCTGATGCCTTTGAAATGTGCTGTTGGTGAAGACTACTGAAAATACCATGGACTGACAGAAGAATGAACAAATTGGTCCTGGAAAAAGTGGATCTGGAATGCTCCTTAGAAGTGAGAATGGCCAGACTTCTCACCTTTTTTGGTAATGTTGTCTGCAGGGATAATTCCCTGGAGAAGGATATCATGTTTGGTGAAGTCAGAGAAAAAGGGGAAGACCCTCAATGAGATAGATTGACACAGTGGCTACAAGGATGGCCTCAAGCATAGCAAGGATTGTGAGGATTGCACAGGACCAGGCAATGTTTCCTTCTGTTGTACATAGGCTCTCTATGAATCAGAATCTACTCAATGACACCTAACAACAACAGTAATAACAACACCTCAACAGAAAAATGAACAACATGAAAAAAGAAAAACAGACACAGACAGACAATTCCTTAAAAAACTCAGATGGTCAATAATTTATGTGAAAAAGGATCAACTTAATTAGAGACCATAGTAATATGAATTAAAATAAAGTACTCATTTTGGGAAAAAAAAAAAAGAAATGATTTTTTTTTCTCTCTGCTGGCAAAGTTTTACAAAGAAAACTCAAACATGCCAACAGAAAGATATATTAGGGCATTTTTCTGAAAATTAACTTATCAATAATCATCAAGAGGTTTGTGAAGGTTCCTTTGTGCTGTCATTCTAGTTCTAGAATTTAAATATATTCAAAAATATTAAAAAAATAAAATATTTTTTATAAATATGCAAAGGAGTGCACAAATATTTTTGTGCATTGTGATAATACCTAATAAGAACATCGATAAAAGGAAAAGAACTTAAAAACCCAACAATGCAGATTGCATGTCACTGAAATAGAATATTCTGCAGCTATACAGGCATGCATGGCTTAACACCCTTCAGGCAATGTTCCATGAAATCTACATCTGTGATCCAATATATATATTTTTTTTTTTTCTTTTTTTCTCAAAGGAAAAGCAGCTCTCCTTTTGTTTATTGTTTCCCTCTAATGGTTTTAAGGGGATAAAAGCCTTGAACCCGGACAGAAGAGCAGTCAGCCCCAGGGTTACAGGTGAGGAGAGACAACTAAGGGACATGCAGAGTAGCAGACCAGAAGAGCAAGAGAAAGGGG